CACTTAGGAGTCTGTGGAGACAAAGACTTTGTCCTTGGAGGCAAAGAGGGAATGTATGAGAGTATAGTTTTACCAACGCTCTTATATGGGTGTGAAGCATGGGTGATGAATGTTGCAGCGAGGAGAAGGCTGGAGGCAGTGGAGATGTCATGTCTGGGGCAATGTGTGGTGTGAATATAATGCAGAGAATTCGTAGTTTGGAAGTTAGGAGAGGTGCGGGATTACCAAAACTGTTGTCCACAGGCTGAGGAAGGGTTGTTGAGGTGGTTCGGACATGTAGAGAGAATGGAGCGAAACAGAATGACTTCAAGAGTGTATCATCTGTAGTGGAAGGAAGGCGGGGTAGGGTCGGCCTAGGAAAGGTTGGAGAGAGGAGTAAAGGAGGTTTTGTGTGCGAGGGGCTTGGACTTCCAGCAGGCATGCGTGAGCGTGTTTGATAGGAGTGAATGGAGACAAATGGTTTTTAATACTTGACTGCTGTTGGAGTGTGAGCAAAGTAACATTTATGAAGGGGTTCAGGGAAACCGGCAGGCCGACTTGAGTCCTGGAGATGGGAAGTACAGTGCCTGCACTCTGAAGGAGGGGTGTTAATGTTGCAGTTTAAAAACTGTAGTGTAAAGCACCCTTCTGGCAAGACAGTGATGGAGTAAATGATGGTGAAAGTTTTTCTTTTTCGGCCACCCTGGCTTGGTGGGAATCGGCCAGGTGTGATAATAAAAAAAAAAAAAAATATATATATATATATATATATAATATATATATATATACATATATATATATATATATAATATATATATATATATATATATATATATATATATATATATAAATAAACATTTTTTAAAGAATATAATTTTACATGCAGAATACAATGAGAAATAATATAAATCACTAATGAAATGGATAAATGAACATTTAAATCACTATTAAATATCTATACTGAAGACTCTTGTTGGCATGTGGAAGGAGGTGAGGAGGGAGAGTGAGGAGGGGAGAGAGATGAGAGGTTATCTCTACCACCATCACTTCCACCCTATACCACCATCACTACCACCATCACTGCCACCCTCTACCACCATCACTACTGCCCTCTACCACCATCACTACCACCCTCTACCACCATCACAACTGCCCTCTACCACCATCACTACCACTCTCTACCACAATCACTACCACCCTCTACCACAATCACTACCACCCTCTACCACCATCACAACCACTACCACCCTCTACCACCATCACAACCACTACCACCCTCTACCACCATCACAACCACTACCACCCTCTACCACCATCACAACCACTACCACCCTCTACCACAATCATAACCACTACCAGGCACTTTCTTTACAAGATTCGCATGCAACTACCTTGCCTTTTCGCAAATGATCGACTCCACAACACTACCTCCCACTAACTGTCTTTTGTTGATCCACACCAACAACTTCTCCACATCTTCAATTGTTTGTGATCTCTGTTTTGTTAGCATATTTACCACTTTCGCATATTTACCCCTTTCTACTTTCTTTGCTTGGATGGAACAGATTGTTGATTTTGACTTCCCATACATCCTGGCAAGCTCGGCTAAATGTATGCCACTTTCGCATTTTTCTACAATCTCTCTCTTGAAATCTATTGTGTTTCTCACCTTCTTTACCAAAGGGCTGGCACTAGGAACTTTCTTTGGGCCCATGGTGACTTATTTTGCAGTCGCACTCAACAGTTAATACTGCACTGTCAAATGCAGTTACAATGTGGATGGTAGGAGCCAAGCACATAAAATATGCTAACATCAGTCAACACAGATCCAAGTTAATGATTCAAAATTACTGTTCCACCCACTAATCTTACTTTTATGTATGTTTTTAACTGTGAAATGTTATCATCCTATTTGATGACTGAACAATGCTTCGATATATCAACAATGAAATAAAACTGCACCATTGTCTCAATACTGGAACATTGGAACACAAGTCAAAATAATGGCGTGTTAAATCAACAGTGTTGGAAACAAGAATGTGAGTGCCAAGTCTAGATTGTGTATATGTACATGAAAATGTTTTCTAACAGCATCTGAGTATACTTATGTTTCCTTCAACCATTTTCAGTTTGCTATGTATCAACTATTAAATTTCCCATGACCAGCACCTTATCACATTCTTACTCCAGTACTCAAATCATAACATTTATCACAGACATTCTACTCCCCTTGTGGGCCTGATAAGACCATCATCACACTAATTAGACTTTAATATATTTACAGAGAGCCTAGAGCAGGGAAGCTGCCAACCAGGATTCCTAATGTTTGCTGGAAACAAATGTCTGCATGTATCTATTGGTTATTACTTGAATCACTCAGTGTCATGGATAACAACCTGGGATGAGGCTCGAGAACGATGCATGGCGATGAGTGATGATATTTGGACTTCAGACTTGGCTTACTCGATTAATGAAGACACCTTGTACCAATTTAATGACTACATAGCTAACAACCAAACTGGTAATTAATCTAAATGCATGCACAGTAAACTTAAAAAAGTGTCTAGACCTTAATAGGGGCTCTTCCGTAGCCTTTGCTGTTCCACTGGTGATCTATCAATATGCTGAACTTTAGATACTATGAATCATAAAGGCTCTATCACAAATTTTCAGATAATACTTTACCTAGCTTTAACCATCTTCATAGATAAATAATTCAAAACAAAATGTAATATCAAGATATAGTGAAATACAGAAGAGCAAATAAAATAGGCGAGGCACTGACGGAAGAAAAAAATAGATATACAAATACAGAAATGTGAGAATAGCAAGGGAACATATGGAAAAATTCATTAAGAATGAATGTACCATAGTGACACTATGAAAAGAGAAGTAGTGTTTTTGAGAGATAGAAAGAACATATGTATTGGGAAATTGTTGAATGTACAGTAGATGATAATGGGGAAGGGGATGGGGGGTTGCATTAAATTTATGCCTGAAGCAAAAAGGGACAAAACCTGTAGGTACAATATCAGGTAGGGAGACTCCAAGGAATTACTAACATTTTGTCATACATGTGTGAAAACAGCACCATACTAAACATTTTACCTCTAAAAAAATACGTACTGATCATTTATTTTTGTCTTGTGAATATGTAAGATTGTAGGTAAATCTTACAAACTTCTACATATACTTATTACAGTAGGGCCCCACTTATACGGCGGGTTAGGTTCCAGGCTACCGCCGTAAAGCGGAAATCGCCGTAAAGTGGAACACCCTTTTTTTCCACTTATAAATGCATACAAACACTAGATAACAAGTTTACACTAACATATATTAAGTTAGCAATAGAACCAGGCATCAAAAAACAATAAAAAGGTACAATACACACATAGTGCACTCATTACTTACCTTAAAATATTTATAGTCTTAATCTAGGGTGAGACAAGTAGTATTTATTGTAAGAAATCAAGTGTGGTATGTATTGTAATAGCCTCACCAGGCCACCCCACCCACACATACTATTCTATGATATTTAAGCATCCCAGAGCGATAAAATGTATATACAGTTCACTCATTACTTACCTTAAAATATTTGTAGTCTTAATGTAGGGTCAGGAGTAAGTAAATGAGATAAAACGAATAAATGAGAGAGAGAAAGAATGAATACATGAGAGGGGGCAGGCGCAGTTATGTAAACAAACCAGGGGAAGGTAAGTTTTGTAAAACAAACGAAGTGTACACGTCTGGTTTGTGTACAAGTTACATTGTGTACAGGTTGTCTCTACATTGATACGGTAGAATTAATAAAGAAGAACACTCCCATTCTCATGTAACATCATTTTGAGAAGAAATGAAGCTCTGAGTGAAGGCAATGGAAATAAGTCACACTGACTTTTTTGGTTATCCTAGGTTCTCTACACGTATGTTGTTATGTATGATAATCTATGTAACTGTATTTGTGTATACCTGAATAAATTTACTTACATACATACGAAAGGAATAATTTTCTACAGTTACCCCCAGTAACACATTTACTCTTATGTTAGATTAGAGAAAATGTTATTCTTGGCGTCACTTGTACAAGTTATGTGGCTCCCACATCTTATATTTATGTTTATTTATTCTATTGTGGGGTGTATTTATCATCTTTTTATGTTATGTATCGTGTTTATTATATAATTTTGAAAAAAATATCATGGATGGATTAATGAAAATGTGTATATTACCGTAATATACGACATTTAATGAGACTCCGTGACTATTGTTATTATGGCGTCACTTGTGGAAGTCGTCTGCTACCAGAGATCACATTTATGTTTATTTATTCTACTGTGGGGTGTATATTATCTTATTTATATGTTATGTATAGTGTTTATTATATAATTTTGAAAAAAATATCATGGATGGATTAATGAAAATGTGTATATTACCGTAATATACGACATTTAATGAGACTCAGTATTGTTATTATCACCACTTGTGCAAGTCGTCTGCTCACATCTCACATTGTTTATTATTCTACTGTGGGGTGTATTTATCTTATTTATATGTTATGCATCGTGTTTATTATATAATTTTGAAAAAAATATCATGGATGGATTAATGAAAATGTGTATATTAACGTAATATACGACATTTAAATGACTCGATGTATGTAAGTTTATTTAGGTACAGGTATACATAAGTATAATTATCAGAGTATATATAAAATATGAAATAACTTTTAAAAACATTTGAAATTTTGGAGTTTCCAGACAAAATGGAGAGACTTAGTGCTTACTGAGCTCATGGAGAATGTAAACAAACAGGGTGGGGCACGGTGACCGTATTAGAAAGTCAGGTGGGGGGAGCCGTATAGTGAGTTTTGGTCATAATTTGAAATGTCCGTATTAGCGGAACGCCGTAAAGCGGAACGCCGTAAAGCGGGGCCCTCCTGTATATATTTATATTGACTTTCCTGTGTGTGTATACCTTCATAGTTCTTATTTTAGGGACATTGCAGTTCAGAGTGTTATTTGAACTGTGATGTCTGCACACTTCTGGCAAGACATGTTGAATGAATAACGATAAATGCGCTGCCTTTTTAGAACCACTTTCCCATGGTGGATGGCTGGCGTAAAAAAAAAAAAAAATCTTAAATATTTTCTTTTCACTTTATGAGGTTTGGTCTGAGACCGGGCCACCAGTGATCACCTTCCCCAGAACATTCAACATTATAGCTACTTGAACATTAAAATGGTATAAAATACCGACAGGTTGTTAGGTAAGACACATATGCAACAGTTAGGTATCTTTATTTCGAAACGTTTCGCCTACACAGTAGGCTTCTTCAGTCGAGTACAGGAAAGTCGATAGAAGCAGAAGAGACTTGAAGACGATGTAATCAGTCCATCACCCTTAAAGTTTTGAGGTGGTCAGTCCCTCAGTCTGGAGAAGAGCATTGTTCCATAGTCTGAAACTTTCCTGTACTCGACTGAAGAAGCCTACTGTGTAGGCGAAATGTTTCGAAATAAAGATACCTAACTGTTGCATATGTGTCTTACCTGACATTATAGCTACTTTATGATGAGTCATAAATGAATGAAGAAAATGAGTGAACAAAGAGAAGATAAAAGTGGGAAAGTGTTAGAATGATTAGTGCAGCTGTTTAACCCTCTGTTTCGGTCGTATATATACGTCTTACAAGGTACCGTGTTTGACGTACATAGTATACTCCAAAATTCTAGCGGCTGCAAATCAAGCAGGAGAAAGCTGGTAGGCCCACATGTGAGAGAATGGGTCTGTGTGGTCAGTGTGCACCATATAAAAAAAATCCTGGAGCACGCAGTGCATAATAATAAAAAAAAAACTCCGACCTTTTTTTTTTTAATTAAAATGCCGACTTTGTGGTCTATTTTCGTAAAGTATTTATGACTGTATTCTCGTTTTCTTGGTCTCATTTGATAGAATGGAAAACATATTATAAAAATACAGTGATTTTGATTGGTTTTACTATAACAAGAACCTGGAAATGGAGCTCAAAGTAAGGGAAATGTTTGATTTTTGCTGATGTTCAAAAGTAAACAAATTATGTCATTGTCCAATAAATGTCCAAGTAGTCATTCTAATATGCAGTCATGAATGTGTTGACATTATTTATACAATTATTACAATATTGCAGAAGTCTGCATAACAGTAAATCTTTTATTATTTGTTTGAATAAAAATTCAAAATATAAAGCAAGAGTAATATTAGAGGGGCCTGGAGATGTGACTGATAAACAAAGAAAATGTTATTTTAGAGCCAGAAATGTCTTCATTGTTCATTCTGAACCCTATTTTGAAATTGTCACATTTTTTAATTTTCGTGAAATTGGCCAAACTGCAAATTTCTGACCACGTTATTGGGTAGTTGAAATCAGTAAATGTGCAGATTCTTGTAATCAATCAATAGAACGAATGGAGTTCTAAAGAAATAGCTATGAGTTTGGTCGACTGGAACAATGGAATTAGCTGAAAATAGGGCTCAAAGTAGGCAAAATCACCAATTCATAAATATCGTTGAGGTCGCTAACTTAGCGAGAGTGTAATTCTGTCAGCTTTCCATCAAATTTCGTTATTTTGGTGTCATTACCATCGGGAAAAGATTCTCTGTCATTTCATAATTTTTTTGTTTTTTTTCAACAAGTCGGCCGTCTCCCACCGAGGCAGGGTGACCCAAAAAAGAAAGAAAATCCCCAAAAAAAGAAAATACTTTCATCATCATTCAACACTTTCACCACACTCACACATTATCACTGCTTTTGCAGAGGTGCTCAGAATACAACAGTTTAGAAGCATATACGTACAAAGATACACAACATATCCCTCCAAACTGCCAATATCCCAAACCCCTCCTTTAAAGTGCAGGCATTGTACTTCCCATTTCCAGGACTCAAGTCCGACTATATGAAAATAACCGGTTTCCCTGAATCCCTTCACTAAATATTACCCTGCTCACACTCCAACAGATCGTCAGGTCCCAAGTACCATTCGTCTCCATTCACTCCTATCTAACACGCTCATGCACGCTTGCTGGAAGTCCAAGCCCCTCGCCCACAAAACCTCCTTTACCCCCTCTTTCCAACCCTTTCGAGGACGACCCCTACCCCTCCTTCCTTCCCCTATAGATTTATATGCTTTCCATGTCATTCTACTTTGATCCATTCTCTCTAAATGACCAAACCACCTCAACAACCCATCTTCTGCCCTCTGACTAATACTTTTATTAACTCCACACCTTCTCCTAATTTCCACACTCCGAATTTTCTGCATAATATTTACACCACACATTGCCCTTAGACAGGACATCTCCACTGCTTCCAACCATCTCCTCGCTGATGCATTTACCACCTAAGCTTCACATCCATATAAGAGTGTTGGTACTACTATACTTTCATACATTCCCTTCTTTGCCTCCATAGATAAAGTTTTTTGACTCCACATATACCTCAACGCACCACTCACCTTTTTTCCCTCATCAATTCTATGATTAACCTCA